ACTCGCATATTCAAGCAACGGCGCATGTCACACTTCCGTGCTCTCAAAGGAAAACACCTTGCTGCACACTTGTCTCCCCATTTCTCGACTACATATTATTCCTCATCTAGACAGGTGAACTCTCTTACACCCTGAGCTGGAGGATGGAAGAACCTCGGGTGCTTTTACCAGAGGTGAGATGTCCTGAAGAGCCCTCTCACCTGAGGACGAGTCATTCTTGCGGTGCCTTCCGCGCCGACTGGCCTTCCTCAGACGCTCGGCGCGCAGACCGTGCTGGGTCTCCCGGGCGTTCCAGTATACGCTGGCCATCTGGTTCACCAGACGCAGCAGTGGCATGTTCACCTGCTCGTCAGGGAAGAGTGGAAAATGGTAAAAGAAAGGAACAGCTGAGGGAACGATGGGCTAAGACGGGTGATCGGTGTGTTAAGAATGGTGGGCGATAGAAAATAGGCTTAAACAGTAGAAGACGCGGCATGACATGATCGATCGAGATGTGTCCATGATAGAGTGTGACGGCAAGCTTGTGCTCTGACACGATGAAACTGTGTGGGCAGTAACACATGCGTCTTACATCACGCAAAAATGTCACGAACTCAGCTTCACAGCCCCCCTTGTTCACAACACCAGTGATATGTGAAACCAGCAGGGCCTCCCTTCCCGCTCCCCAGCCCAACACACCTTGAGCGCCAGTGAGTCGGCACACACGGTAAAGTTGACCACGGCCTGGGTGTGACGTTTGAGCTGCCGGCGGGTGACGAACGCGTTCGGCTGCCGCTGGATCCACTCGCCGACAGCCGTGTCGGCCACATGTCTGAGGTCTAGTTCCACCCGTCCGCCGCGCAGGATAAACGCCGGCTCGGTGGATAGCTGCGCCGGCGCCCGGCCTGGGGAGGAGAGCGAGAGGGGTTAGGTGGCTCAGAGAGGAGAAGCGAGCGGGGTTAGGTGGCTCAGAGAGGGGGAGGGAGCGGGGTTAGGTGGCTCAGAGAGGGGGAGCGAGCGGAGTTAGAAGACGCAGAGAGGGAAGGAAGGGAGGGATAGGAAGAGGGGGAGGGGAGGGAGGGAGGGAGGGAGGGAGGGAGGGAGGGAGGGAGGGAGGGAGGGAGGGAGGGAGAGAGAGAGAGGAGAGAGAGAGGAGAGAGAGAGAGAGAGAGAGAGAGAGAGAGAGAGAGAGAGAGAGAGAGAAAAAGAGAGGGGGTTATGGGCAGGGATAGGAGGGGGAAAGACGAGAGATTAACACGCGCAGTGGAAGGGGGGGGCGGATTTCGCCCACCCCTCCTGTTTTTCGCCAATAACTCGCGCCGCAAGCATAATAACAATGTGAAATTTCGGCTACCTGTCCATAATTGAATTGCGGATCTTCTCGTGCAAGAAGTAAGAAAATCGGTTCACAACTTTTCTAGTAATAGCGGTGTAAAGTCAAACATCCTGCCGCCGCGGCGGCGCGGCGGCGCGGCGGCCGGCGCTAGCCGTTACGCGCCGCCTGAATTGTAGACTGTGCCGGGGCGGGACGGTTCCGTCTTTACATCGCCCTCCTTACCGCTGATTATATTGGATTCGCGTCAAATTCGGTGAGAAGACTGAGAAATATACAGGCAATCATATGATCAAAGAATTTTGAAAATCGGCCGGTAACAACTTGAGTTATGAGTGTGTAAACACAAAATTGTGATTGCCGCGTTTCCCGCGTCCGCCGATCCCGCTTCAGCCGGCGACATCTTACCCTTAGCAGGCTTCTAACTGCCATATTTATCGTTGGATTATCTAGAAATTCACCATACATACTCACAAATGTTTGTTCTTTCGTATAGTGAAAGATTAAAGAAAATCGGCCGGTAACTTTTTGAGCTATCGGCGTGTAAACGCAAAAAAGTCGCTAATATGGCAGATTTGACCACATTTGACCTCATTTGACCTTGAAGATATTGACCTAGGGTCATGAAATTCACACACAACAGAGTTCCCCATGGCCCCCACCTACCCTCCAAATTTCGTCTTTCTAGCTCCAGTGGGAGCTGAGATCTTAGGGGGGGGCGACATCCGCCCCCCCTTCCACTGGGCGTAGTACTCGCAACCCTTCCACTGCGCGTGTTAAAGAAATAACTCGAAGAACATATGTCCTCTTCCCCAAGCAGTTCATGACTCCATGAGCATTCAGCACGAGCGAAGTAGAGCTCAAAGCTTGTAATATCTACATCAAGATTCTGCAGCTCGCCCCAAACATTGATGTAAAACTTGACACCTAAATCACAACTGAGCGCCAAACATTACAGAGGGTGGTGTTGGCCGGCCGATTGGCCGCATTCCCCACCTCGGCGCGGCTTGGCTCCGTTGCTGCTCTCGGAAATGTCGATCCTCAGAGACTGCAGGCTGGAGACCAGGTTCACAGAGTTGCCCAGCTGACGAAGAATCGTGTCACCGCCGAGCACCTCGCTAAGAACACCTGACGAACGCGGCCAGAGAGTCAACGGTGACGACAACATCAGCATGGAAACAGGCATACAAGTAAGCTTTGACTAAATGTATTGCACAAAAAAGGGCTCTGAATCGTAGCCTCCCGGCCTTACTTAAGAATGGGTTTGAAGTTTCCAGAAATTGGATACGGAAGACAGGATGCCTCAAACGTAGATCTCGAATTCTTTAACCCGCGCCCGGCTGGGGGTCCTGGTTTTCCACGCCCAGCTGGGGGGGGGGGTGTTTGAACACCCCCTTGTAACTCCGCTCCTGGGCCATGTAGCGATACGCAGAAGGCGGCGTTCGAAAGAGCGTCAAAAATAATGACGAAATCACTTCGGTCAATTTTTTGGTCAGGTCAAAGGTCAGGTCACCAGAGGTCATTGAAGGCAAAATTTCGCCGATTTCCAGGTCGAATGTCGAAAATTTTCAAGAAGCCAATGCATAACTCGGGAACCAATAGAGCTACAGCGCCGCGGAAAAGCGCATTCGATAGCCCTAATAACGCCCTTTCTGAGTAATTCTCTCAGATTTGACCTAACGTCAACGGTTTTGCCTGCAGGGGGCAAAAACTGCAAAAATAGCCGATTTTTTCGGAAAGTTTTTCTGCGATAACTTTTGACCCAAGCCTTGTGCGAGCTTACTTTTACCGGCATCGTGTTCCTCTCGTCAAGACGCATCGAATGAACTATAACTTGACCTTGAAAGGTCAACTTGAAAATTTGACCTCAGGTCAAGGTCATGACCTGGCCGGAAAGGGTCATGTTGCATATCAGTCGATCCGTATCGTCGAGCTGAACACATCTAAGGCGTTTTCATCGCTCTAGCATGCCTCTAGCAAAAGTTATTTGCGAAAAACTGTTAGATACCATTCGTGACCTAAGATGACCTCAGGGCATAAACAGGGGTCACGGACACCATTTTCATGTTCAGTGTGTCTAAACCACTTGTAATTCGGTGTTTGGGAGGGTTTATAATGTCTTTCGTCCAAAAGAGACGCATTTCAATTTTCTTCCATTGACTTATAATGGGGAGGTCGCAAAATTGACCTAACCTTAGGTCATCGATATCAAAATTCTGAGATATACATTTTGTACATGCTATTGCTCTTAGCAATCGCTGAAAGATTCAAAGCGATCGGTCACTCGGTGTAGCTATGACAGACATTGAAACTTTTTATGAGGTGAGGTCACTTCAAGTGACCTGGTGACCTGACCTTGAATGACCTTGGTCTGAAATTTTCACAACATGTGTAGAATTGATGTATGATAAGGTGTACCAAAAACGGCGGCGCTCCGCGCCGCCGTTTTTGAGATATTCGCGAAAAACCACAAGGGGGGTGTTCAAACATCCCCCCCCAGCAGGGCGCGGGTTAACCGGCGCTCTGCTGGGGAGGGATGTTTGAACACTCCTCTGGGGTATTTCGATCTCAGAACACAGATCTCAGAATTCATGTGTCTTTTCTGCACAAATGAAAACTTCAGACTCAGGTCTTTCAGATTCAGGTCACCAGACTACGTCCAGTGACCTTACATCAGGAAAAGTTATAATCCACGTTGTAGCATTAACCCGCGCCTGGTAGGGGGAGCGGAAACGCCCCCTCTCCTACCCCTGTCCTTTTCCGTTGACATCTCCTAAACTACTGCAGGTATCGTCACCAAACTTTCTGGACCCCTCCGGGCATTAATTTTAAACATTGTGAACACAAAATTTCTAGAGGCTATGATATGTTGGCCGCAAATGACGCTTTCAGTGACGAGGCGCCCTTGGAGCTCTCCTAAGTCCCTAACTGTCCCGATGCCGTTCTGGGCCAACATCAGCTCAGAGGTGCCGCACTGTCGAGACGGTGAAGCATCCGCTTGGGATTCTCGTTTGGGGCATGATTGATGGCCTACAGAGGCCTCTCTGTGGTAAGTGTGGTTCACCAAGTGACGCAGGGACAGGCCGTGATCGCCGATAACTTGTCAGCGAGGTGATGGAGAACACGGACACAACTACGGTGCAGCAGGAAAAGGAAAATAGTTCACAAACCAAAGCCAAACTTTTGCCAGACATGCCCAGAGACATTTTCCAACAAAAATATCTGGCTCATGACGCTAGGAACGCCCAGGACTGATGCTGAGCGAAGTATCTTAGCCTCTGAGAGGAGGGGACATGGCCTGGCAATAGTTCAGACATGTCCATGATCGAAAACCTCTTAGTGGTGGTCAAACAAGAGCTCAGCAAGCTACCGCCCGCCAGCTAGGACTATTCCAGAACGCGTGAGCGGCATGGTGGAGTCTCGAAGGAGACTCTCGACAACCTGTGTGACATACCAGAGCGCCTAAGGCATTGTATGCGGCTAAGGAAGGACTATAATAGTAAATAAATCATGACATAAGTTCCAGTTGTTTATAATTTATTAAGCATAAAGCAACCGCGCATCAATTTCGGGGCACCCTGTACCTAAGCCTCTCAAAAGCCTTACAGCCCGTGCCGAGAAGTTCATGCTAAGACGTTTCCGTTATAGCAAAACAAAGGTCGCATCGCTTTCTTCGCTCGTTCGCTCGTAATGAAGTCCTCCTCACAATTAAACGCATACAAAAACATCACGTTCTTTGGAGGGCCTAATTTTCATTTTTCGCGTTCTTTCATCACGAGGACTTGCTATCCTCGATTTAGGTCAATGACCTAACACCACATGGGTTATTGGCCACACGGTAACATGGGCCCAAGCCTGTAAGTAGTCCTAATTTATTACCTCATATTGTTCTAGTGATATTGGGCCCAATGCACAGTACAAATTTTGCAAGGGCTAAAAACTGACAAATCAAAGTACCTAAAGAAACGTGAAAACATGGAATTGTTGGTCTAGTCCCCAAGTACTTACACCAAGTAAACAAAGTTCTTTTCAAGTTCTTGAGAAGGATTTGCAACAAGAATCATCAACGTACAAGAAATTCCCTAGCGATATATTCATAGTGAATGTTAGAGGCGTAAAAACCTTCAAAAAGATGGAATCGCTCCTTTTGCGAATGACTTCATTTTTCTTACTAACGGTACTGATTAGGAAAGCATCCAGCTTATCCACCCTAGAGAGCTATCTTTACCAACTTTCTGACAAGCGGAACGAATCATTTTACCTTACGATATTGCATCAAAACGACATTCATAGCCATTTTGGTTTGATAAGTAGGTACGGTTATAAATGCGTTGACCCCAAACGGAAAACCTGCTACGGTGGATTTTCAAGAGCGGTGCACTACGTGAAGGACATAATCGAAAACGATCAATTCTCGAAGAATCTCCTCATCGTGAGCTCCGGCGACTTTTTCAAGGGTAACCAGTACTACTCAGAGTTTAAATGGCAACTCATTGTAGACATGATCCAGCACATGCCGTACACAGCGCTCACGCTAGGGGACGCCGAGTTCACGGACGGTATCGACGGTCTGGTGCCGTTTCTGCGCGCCATCAGCGAGATATTCGTCTGCACCAACATTGACTTTAGCGGCGTCGCCAACGTGACGCTGCAAGAGGAGCTGCGCCGCCTCTGTCCCAGGCACCGCATTGTCTCCTACGATAGCCTGCTTGGCCCGCGGCATGTATGCCTACTCGGCTACACCACCCCGCTGACACAGAAGTTGATGTTCGACAAGTGGGCTCATTTCGAAAACGAGGAGGAGGCGCTGACGCGTGAGATCAAGCAGCTGCGCGCTGCCAGACCCGAGGTCAAAATATTCGTAGCACTCGGTCACTCTGGCTACGAGCGTGACAAGCAGATCGCCCACCGCGTGCCCAGTCTGGACGTCATCATTGGCGGGCACTCGCACACCCTTCTGTGGCCCAACATCCGCAATAGGCAGGTGGCAGGCGTGCCGGACGACCCTCACGACCAGCAGTTTGCCAAGGACGTCTACCCGACCACGGTCATCCAGCCCAGCGGCCGGGTGGTGCTCATCGCGCAAATGTACAAACACGGCAAGTACCTGGGCGTGCTCAACGTCACATTCAACGCCGATGACGAGGTGACCGACTTCTATACGGGGCCCGTGCTGCTCACCGACGAGATGTCTGCCGACGCCGAGACAGAAAAGTCGCTCGACAAGTATCGCCAGGAGATGCGCCGACGGCAGCAGCAGGTGATCGGTAGCACACGGGTCGAGCTGGTCGGCAGCGTCCAGGAATGCACCTACACAGAGTGTAACCTGGGAAACCTAATGACAGACGCAATGTTGTGGCATGTGCGTCACTACGGCACCGGCATGCCTCATACGTTAGCGGCGGTCGTAAACGCCGGCGCCATCAAGCGAGGCATCAAGCCGGGCAAGTTTAAAATGGCCGACATTACAGCATCGCTGCCCTACCCGGATACTCTAAACATCGTCAAAGTCAGAGGCTCCACCGTCCGGAAAATGCTCGAGCACAGTCTCGATGAGAACAAGGAAGGCATTTTTCTACAGATCTCCGGCATGCGCGTGCGTTACAACATGACCAAACCATTAGGCGAGAGAGTCGTATCAGTGCGCATCTTATGCCAGACTTGTGTGACACCAGAATATGAGCCGCTCAACGATACGGCCATCTACCACATCGCCATGTTCACGTTCCTAGCCGTGGGCAACGACGGCTTCACCATGCTCAAGCAGGAGATGCTTTCATCGCAGCAGCGGCACGATGTCAGTCTCGACATCGTCCTCACCTACGTACGCCGCTTCTCGCCGCTTCACCCCTACTTAGACGGCAGGATTAAGATCGTGACAGAGCCGGTGTTGAACAACACGGCTCCCAAGCAATACAGCTCCCGGACCATGTGGGTGGTGGCGGTCGCGGCCGGCGGCGCCGTGCTCTCGGCAATGCTACTCGTGTAGCGGTGAGAGCTCGGTACAGCATGATGCACAGTGCGATGAGACCGGGACGAAGGGTGGTGTTATCCTATGTTAGGATTCGCCTGATGTGTGTCCACTTGCCCAAATCGCCCGCGCGCATTTGGTGTGCCTAGATAGGCAATCGAGGCGAATGCAGACACTGTCTATCTGATGTTAAGTCTTCAGCCGTGAGTTGTTCGTTCATGTCGAATGCGGTTTCCTTTGTGTTCTTAGTGAGGCAGTCCGATTCTTCAGGTACATTCGGTGCTGCCACTGTTGTCCAATGTCTATTGTTTGATCGTTTCTTTTGGCTTGCACACGGCAGTAATTACAGTGTTATTGTCCATCTCCGTGAAGTCAAATCCACCTGCGGAGGCGAGGGGCGGCTCGAAGGGCTGGTGCGCCTTCAGCACCTCTAGGCCGGAAGGCGGCGGAGGCTGGGATGACTAATGCGTTACTGTTCTACCAATGTGGCAATTTTCAGGCCGAAAATTCAACTTTCGCCGAAGCTAGAGGACCCTTGTAAAACACAAAAAAAAAACGGTTCCGCTCCAAGCATGCGCAGTTTGCACATAAAGGTAGGGGTCGGGAACCGCAAAAGATATTGGTTCACGGAAGGTTGCGTTAAATAATACCTTGCAAGTTCCACAACTGTGTCGCCTGCCGTCTCGCCCGCCCTGACAAATGATTTCGTGCATTTTTTTCTCCGGCACCACGTGGCACGTGGCAATGTTGCCCATCGGCGTCGAATGGTGCCACGTCCGTCTACCCGTCTGGGCTCCAAGGCCTTATTACGAGCGAGCGAGCGCAGCGAGCGAAGCGAAGTCTTTTCAATATAACGGAAAAATCTCAGTATGAGCGGCCCGGCCCGGCCCGGCCCGGCCTGTAACGCTTTTGAGAGGCTTGTATCTCAGCAACCGCTGGACCGATTGACCTGCGGTCTTTTTTGCTGGGTAGCCCCATCCCTTCTACCCCGTAATTGACTACTCTTGACACATCTCAGTGACCGTCGTGGCACGTGCCACGTGAAAAGTCAAGGGTGTTCAAGCTGTTATGCAAAAGTAGTGATTTTGAGAGGCTCATATCTCAGCAGCGGCCGCTTGAGCGATTGTCTTGCGGTAATTTTGGTAGGGTAGCTGCATCCCTTCTACCAATGGTCGGTTACTCTTGATCTATGTGAGTGACCCCCACTGCACGTGCAAAATAAAAAAAGAAGAGGTGCCAAATTTGTTCCCATTTCAATAACTCTGTAATTACTGGGGCGATTTCGCTGAAACTTGGCATACAGGTAGGCACCCACCAGGCAATGCATTCACATGTGTTGCGGTTAGGGTGCTACTGCACGTGCGCACGTGCAGGGGGCGCTTCCAGATCTCGAGAACGGCTGGGCCAATTGCGCTCAAATTTGGTACACGGTTGGGGACCGGTTAGTAGGGTGCCGTGCAAAAGTCATTATGGACCCCGTTTGAACGTGCACACGTGCAGAATGCCGCTTCCAGATCTCAGGAACGGCTGGGTCGATTGCGTTCAAATTTGGCTCACCGCTAGCGACCGGTTAGAAGTGCGCTTTGCACAAGCCCCGTTGGAAGTACCCTCTCGCCCTTCCGCACCGTGCACGTGCAGGGCTCACTATCTCGCCCGCTCGTTCTTCGCCCAAAAGGCGTTTTACTGGTCTTGTCGTAGAGTGGTCAGTGGACTCAGCAGCACTGGCTTGAATTCAGCTGCAAAAAGCAATTAAATGCAGAACAATAGGTACTTGCGCGTTTCAGCCCATCGCATATTGTCGGTCCGAGGATTAAGGAACCGTTTCGTCGACTCGTCAATCTGATAATCCTTTGCCTACACGCACTGGCATATCAACGAGCATCGTGGATAGAAGAGTAAGAGACTATAGGATAAAGCCCTGATGCCGAAAGTGTTTGAAGTAGCCTAAACAATAAAGGAAGACTTTCATGGAATCAAGCGTATGCTAACAAATCACGTTTTTTGGCATAACAAAATTATCCACCTTCAATCAACACGGAAAATTTGCCGACCCTTTTGACTGCACAGTTCAGGCTTGGTACAGGCTAGCACCTTGGCTAGTACCATAAAACAATCTGGATTACTTTGGACTTTACAATGTACTTTGTGTTGTCATGTATCATGAATGTAACAGTACGGATTGCCGTCACATGTTTTCTTGGATCCATGGCTAGTAGTTATGTTAAGCCCCTAATCTTAAACCTCACGTGGTTCTAAAGACTTTTTGTCCGTGCAAGGTCCAAACTTGTCAGAGCCTAGACCAAACAGATGAAAGCTCGCATAGAAAGGTTAAAAATTGAAATTATCTGTTACGTGTACAAAGGATTTAACAAGCTCAAGAAGTCGTGCTTTTCTGTTAAGTTCCAAAGAACAAGAAGAACAAAGATCAAAGAACAAAGAACGTTGCAACAAGAACCACCAACATACACGAGATTCTCTTATTATTTATGCATTGTAAATGGTTAAGTTGTAAGAAGTTAGATCGAAATGGGCTCCATAAGCTTATCAATAGTGGTTTCAATTTCCTTGATAATGGTGCTTTGCCAAAAAGCATCGAGCTTATCCTCTCTAAGCAGCCTACTTTATCAACTTGCTGACATGCGAAACGAATCATTTTACCTTACGATAATGCACCAAAACGACATTCACAGCCATTTTGATTTGATAAGTAGGTATGGGTATAAATGCGTTGACCCTAAACGAAAAACCTGCTACGGTGGATTTTCAAGAGCAGTGCATTACGTGAAGGACATAATCGAGCACGACAAATTTACAAAGAATCTTCTCATCGTGAGCTCCGGCGACTTCTTCAAGGGTAACCAGTACTACTCAGAGTTTAAATGGCAACTCATTGTAGACATGATCCAGCACATGCCGTACACAGCGCTCACGCTGGGGGACGCCGAGTTCACGGACGGTATCGACGGTCTGGTACCGTTTCTGCGCGCCATCGGTGAGATATTCGTCTGCACCAACATCGACTTTAGCGGCGTCGCCAACGTGACGCTGCAAGAGGAGTTGCGCCGCCTCTGTCCCAGGCACCGCATCGTCTCCTACGATAGCCTGCTTGGCCCGCGGCATGTATGCCTACTCGGCTACACCACCCCGCTGACACAGAAGTTGATGTTCGACAAGTGGGCTCACTTCGAAAACGAGGAGGAGGCGCTGACGCGTGAGATCAAGCAGCTGCGCGCTGCCAGACCCGAGGTCAAAATATTCGTGGCACTCGGTCACTCCGGCTACGAGCGTGACAAGCAGATCGCCCACCGCGTGCCCAGTCTGGACGTCATCATTGGCGGGCACTCGCACACCCTTCTGTGGCCCAACATCCGCAATAGGCAGGTGGCAGGCGTGCCGGACGACCCTCACGACCAGCAGTTTGCCAAGGACGTCTACCCGACCACGGTCATCCAGCCCAGCGGCCGGGTGGTGCTCATCGCGCAAATGTACAAACACGGCAAGTACCTGGGCGTGCTCAACGTCACATTCAACGCTGATGACGAGGTGACCGACTTCTATACGGGGCCCGTGCTGCTCACCGACGAAATGCCGGCCGACGCCGAGACAGAAAAGTCGCTCGACAAGTATCGCCAGGAGATGCGCCGACGGCAACAGCAGGTGATCGGTAGCACACGGGTCGAGCTGGTCGGCAGCGTCCAGGAGTGCACCTACACAGAGTGTACCCTGGGAAACCTAATGACAGATGCCATGCTATGGCATGTGCGTCACTACGGCACACGCATGTCGCATACGCTAGCAGCAGTAATCAACGCTGGCGCCATCAAGCGGAGCATCAAACCGGGCAAGTTCAAAATGGCCGACATTACAGCATCGCTGCCCTACCCGGATACTCTAAACATCGTCAAAGTCAGAGGCTCCACCGTCCGGAAAATGCTCGAGCACAGTGTCTATGAGAGCAAAAGGGGAATTTTCTTACAGATTTCCGGGATGCGCGTGCTTTACAACATGACCAAGCCACCAGGCGAGAGAGTCGCATCAGTGCGCATCTTGTGCCAGACTTGTGTGACACCAGAGTACGAACCGCTCAACGATACGGCCATCTATCACATCGCCACGTTCACGTACCTCGCTGTAGGAAACGACGGCTACACCATGCTCAAGCAGGAGATGCTTTCATCGCAGCAGCGGCATGATGTCAGTCTCGACATCGTCGTCACCTACGTACGTCGCTTCTCGCCGCTTTACCCCTACTTGGACGGCAGGATTGAGATCGTGACAGAGCCGGTGGTGAACAACACGGCTACCTGGCAATACAGCTCCCGGACCATGTGGGTGGTGGCGGTCGCGGCCGGCGGCGCCGTGCTCTCGGCCATGCTACTCGTGTAGCGGTGAGAGCTCGGTACAGCATGATGCACAGTGCGATGAGACCGGGACGAAGGGTAGTGTTATCCTATGTTTGGATTCGCCTGATGTGTGCCCACTTGCCCAAATCGCCCGCGCGTATTTGGTGTGCCTAGATAGGCAATCGAGGCGAATGCCGAATCTGCTGTCAAGTCTTCAGCTGTGAGTCGTTCATTCATGTCGCATGCGATTCACTTTGTGTTCTCAGTGAAACAGCCCACCTTATTCAGGTGCACCTACGGTGCTGCCACTGTTGTCCAATGTCTGTTGTTTGATCGTTTCTTTTGACTTGCACAAGGCAGTAATTACAGTGTTATTGTCCATCTCCGTGAAGTCCAATCCATCTGCAGAGGCGAGGGGCGGCTCGAATAACTGGTGCGCCTCCAGCACCAACAGGCCGCAATCAGGAGCTTTTACGGCCCAACGATCACCCTAGGCAAAGATATTCCATTTCTCGTCCCGAAAAAAGATGCCTTGCTGAGGAAAGCGTGCCTTGCACGGGTCATTTCCCTCCTGCAAAACTGTATAGTTCTTCCTATATTAAAATATAGAAAATATTTTTTTTATAAAAAGGTTTTATTTTCTTTACTGATCATTTTGAGCAAAAAAAAAATCATAAATCCATTGCAAAAAAATAATAATTTCGCAAAAGTGAACTATTCCCTTTAAGGAAGACTTTTTCATGGAATCAAACGCATGTCAACAGATCACGTTTTTTGGGAGCATTAATTTTCTGTCTTCTTTCATCACGGGAAATTTCCTATCCCTTTACGCTGCACCTTTACGCTGCACTATATATGGCCTTGCGCTGCACTAAGAAGTTAGAGCGAAATGAGCTCCATAAGCTTATCATTTTTCTTGATAATGGTGCTTTACCAAAAAGCATTCAGCTTAACCTCTCTAAGCAGCCGACTTTATCAACTCGTTGACACACGGAACGAGTCATTTTACCTAACCATA